TGCTGTGTGTCCTTTTCTTTTGTTAATTCTCTGTATCAGCATGTTCTGTTTGGCATTTGCCACTTAGCCTTCCCTTTGTGTTATTTATCTATAAATCCAGCAATAAAGCTATTGTTCTGTTCAGCCCTGAGAATGTTGGTAAAAGGGTTCATAAATAAAAAGATTATAACTGATTACACACAAAAATTAATGCGATGTTTGTCTCTTGTGTTTATTTATTTACAATTCCCAGAATGTGCACAAAATAACTTCATAACTAAAGGATACAGTGATTTTGAAATATTTGTAAGTATATGCAGTTATACTGTCCCATTACCATGTAAAGATTGTGTTAATTATGTAATGTAATTTTTCATTCACTCAATTTAAAGCACACACTTTAACTTTAATTAACTTTAATTTGTAAATGTCCTCACCTTGCCACTGGTAACCAGGAAGTATTTTATTGAACCCTATATGCAGTGAATAATTACCCTTTTGTTTATGACCTATATTCAGATACATCACAAGGCTTTGAGTGTAACAGACAGACTATTGCACCTTGCCGCATAAGTCCACACAATTATGTACAACCCCAGTTTGAAAACCTCAATAACACATAAAGAAATGACAGAAAACTTTGTAGGTTTTAAAAGGGATAATTGAAGCAAAAATAGTTTCTTTCGGTTGAGCCTGTATTATCCACACTGACATTTTATTGAATATGTATAGCAAATAAAGTAGAAATGAGTCAGCCAGCATCAATGAGTACGGGCAAAGTCATGATTTTTTTTAGCCACTAGCAAAGCATTTCAGATTAGGGTCATGTATCTTGTTCCACATGTAGTACATTTTTGCTGAAAGGAATCTGTGAACAAGTAGAGTTCCTCTATAATAACAAGGGTCATAGTCATCAGCTGTAGTGGAAGGAACGCGAAGTCCATTTATCCTCACTGCACTATGCCGCTCAGGGCTAAGTCCTGCTTTGGCCAAACACATTCCTAAGTAAACATCATCAATGGGAAGAACAGTGATAGAGTGGGACATATTGTATATAACCAAAGCTGTGTAGCCAGATAAAATGTAACCCCCACCACTACAGTAAGGAGGGTATGACTCTGACTCATACACCTGAACTGGAACATAATATTTACTCCACTTTTCTCGAATAGGGCCAACATATTGGATCACCCAGCCAGTAAAGAGGTGTTTCCGTCCATCATTGTCCTTAAGTTGAAGTAGATATTCAACCATGTTATCTGTGTTGACAAAGACGTCATCATCGCCGTTTAGCAGGAAGCGAGCATGTGGACAGTTTCTCTCCATCCATTCGAGGAAGAGTATTTGCTTCAAGGTGAGGTTAAAGAATGAGTCATTAAAGTCCCACTGAAGAATATCATTGTTCTCACGTTGCTCTATTTTAAGGAGTGTGTTCAGTCTCTTTTTCTCAAAACCAACACCCGTTGTTCCTGAGATAAAAAGCCTTCGGATCCACACACCATTCTGCAATCTCTCCTTAGCCCAGGTTTTGCGCAGTACTTCTCGACGGTCGTAGTTCACAGGAGTGCTTTTAATGACCAGCAAAAGAAAAACATCCGAGGACCCTTCAGCTCCTCCACACTTATCAGGAATGTCCAGCAGCATGGGGAAATGTCGACAGTGGCGATAGTACAGAAAGTCTTTTATATGATCAGGAAGAGTGCTGAAGTTCTTAATGTTAGCAACAGACATGTTTTGTCGACATCTTGACCAGGAAAAATGATGAGCTGGAGTGATTTGTGGTGGCTTAATGACATCATCTCTCCTGGTTTCTTCAAGAAGTGAATCTTGGGAGCCTAACATATTTTTACAGAAAATAGCAACAGTCAAGAGAAGGCCAGTCACCACCAGCAAACTGCTTGCTCTTAAGGTGATCTGTTTCAAAAATCTGTGGTCACAAAAAAAAATTCCAATTAGTAATAACATTAAAAAGATAAGAGTGCATTAAATGTGTGTATTATATTACTATCTATTACTTTGTAGATACTTAGGTTGTAAGAATCTGAATGCAAATTTACATGCTACCAATGTGTTTTGTTGATCTATTCTATTCTATTCTATTCTATTCTATTCTATTCTATTCTATAAAGGATTTGAGCTCCAGTTATAATTTCCTTGGAATGCCAAGTCTTGAAATATTTAAAAATCAGCATTGTATTTGTCTTTTTCAAAGTTCTAAATCTTTCTATTAACAGGTTTTCTTGACTTTCAGTGTTTTGTTACTTCACAATTATTCTAAACAAAAGAAAGATGGTTAGCAGTTTATTTAGCACACAAAAAGACTAAACAGAAGTAAAACTTTGTTGTATGCAAAAAAAAAAACAAAAAAACAAGAAAAGGGGACAAATTATTTCCTAGCAAAAGCTTACAAGCAGGCGTGGTTTCTTGGAACCCAATTATCTACAGAATAACTGAAAGATGCCGCTGGAAGTGCTGTTCTAAATGATTTACACAGAAAACTAACATTCGCACACTTACACTCCATTACTGGAGCCACAGTTTCTGTTGAGAAATATTTGAAAACTGCATGCTTTGGTTTCTACTGTTGAATCAAATCAGGTTTAACTTGCTTGACATTTGTGCTAGTCCTTTCCAAACCATCTTAATTTGTCTCTAGATGGTCTATAGCAGGGAGCCATCAGGCTAAATTGGTGACCAGTGGGACTTTGCCAATGGGTAATGGCAGGTCAAGCGGAACACGGCTCGGGCAGTGGCAAAAAGCAAGCAAAGTCTCAGTTGTAGGAGGGGTTTGTTGAGGCCATGGAAAATATGTAAATTATTTTACATACACTCGTCAAACACATCATGGTAATTTGGGGAGATGGTGGTTAACTATTTCTTTGAAATGTTTGTTTTCCACTGTACAGCATGTATTTTTAAGAAAACAAGAAGTGGGTGCACAAGTTTAAATCTATTTGTCATGGCTGGGTCTGTGACCCAGCATTTTGAGTTCATTATATATTGTGTATTTCTGTTTTAAGTATGGGGATATGTTAAGTTCTTGTTTTTGCATTATTAGTTGGAACTTGAGTCTTTGTGTTAGTCATTTATTGTTTGGGTTAAGCTCATCCACCTCTCTTAAACCCCTAAGTTGTTCAGCCTTAGTTCTGTTTATTGGATCTCCTCATTTCCCCCTCCCCTGGATCTTAGTCTCGTTTGCCCTTTGTGTTCCACGTCTCATGTTGTCAAGCCCATGTAGTTTGGTCTGTCTCATCATGTTTCCTGTTTTATTTTGAAAGAGTCCTCTGTTCTTTGTTCATTGCATTAAGTTTCACTTCCCCTGTCCTGTCATTAGGTTATGTGAGTCAGCTGTGTCTCCACTTCCTCTGATCACCTCATGTGTGTATTTAGTCCTCAGTCTTGCTGTGTTCAGTGTCGTGTCGTCTGTGTTATCTCCCCTACCCCTTGTCACAGTTTCCCAGCCATAGTAAGTCATAGTTTGTATGTTGTTTAGTCATAGTCTAAATCTCAGTAGAGTCATAGTTTCCCAGTCTGTTCAGGTTTTCCCTCAGTTACTTTGTTGTTGTTTTTTCCGTGAGTTTTCGGTCCTAAATAAAGGCTCGCTTTTTGTTAAGTTCAGTTTTGTGTCCTCGCCTCTGTCTGCTCTTGGGTCCTCTACTCACTCCACATGGTCTGCCCCGGCAGTCCGTGACACTATTTTGGATTGTCTCCAGTTTACTCAGGGTTTAAAATTGTACATATCTCATATTTGACCTTGGGATGGACCTAGCTTTTAAAGCAGTCCAAAAAGGGCTGAAATCAGGGTTTGGGGAATAGCATTCAAGAAGCCTAATGTTTGTCTATTTTAACCATTCCAAAATCAGTTCTAATGTGTCCTGGAACACCTAGTTGGAACCACGTTTCAACCGTCTAATGGTTGACTTGAAATTAAATTAAAGAGCTTGGAGGTAGTCCTCTTTTTTTTTTTTTTTGGTTGTTCCTTCCATTGTACAATTTATAACAATGACCAGCAGTAAAGCCCCAGAGTATGAAGCTACCACCACCATGCTTGACAGCTGATAAACAAAGAAAAGACATTTGTATACTCTACAGCAAATAGAATGAGAAACTACTAACATTTTAAAAGAATAAAATCCTTCCTATTTTGCATTTCTAGTTCTAGTTTTTATTTTACTTTTAGCAGCTATGATAACATCGTATAGGGGCTGAAACCAAACAATTAACTACCTCAAGAACCTTAAACTAAAAGCATTTAAACAAATTAATGTTAAATGAATAAAAACAAAGTAAAAAGAAGATTATATAACAGAGCTTCTAAAATTTCTAACACCCCTGACTCACTGTGCTGCCGTTTCACTTTCTAATGCTCTGACTTTTTAGAGCCTTTCAAATGATCAAGCATTTAAGTTTTTACCTTTCAGATTAAAAACAAAACTCTGCACACTTCAAACAAATTACATGAGTCATATTAGCTGTTTACTCCATTAGTTGTTGCCTTGTTTAACCCCCCGTACTTATAGGAAGTATACAGGCATTTAAGCCTCAGGGACAGAATGTGAGACGATATCTTTGTCATTACAAGGAATGTTCTCTTTTTGTTCTATGGACAAATATGTCTATGGAGCACATATGTATGTACATATATGTTTCAAAAAATTAGTAAAAACTTGTTTGTACACTACCACATAATGTGAAATAGTGTTAAAAATATTTAAGAAAAACAATGGACTTAACTGACTTCTTAAACAAAGAACGGTATCATATATGATATCTCAAGCACAAACCAGCTTCTCTGATTTCTTGCGAAGTACTTTGAGTTTGTTTTTTCTTTTATGTGTGTGCAAAAAGACTGAAAATGACATTACACAATTTGTGGAGTATTAAAAGGTGTATTAATAAATGTTATTGTGATAAATGTGATAATGATAAACAATATAAACAATATAAAACTGTTGTTTTTGTGTGCGTGTGTGTGTGTGTGTGTGTGTGTGTGTGTAGAAGACAGCAGTTACCTTAACATACTGGTGGATGAGCTCACTTGGTAAGTATCCTTCAGGTAGTCAACATAGAATGTGTGCAGATAAGAAACAGCTCCTAACTGAAGCCTGTTACCCGCATGTATTTAGACTGGGTGTAGTCTTTGAGACCAACCCTAAACCCAAGTCAGACCATTCTTCTAAAATATATTTTTGTTATTATTTGATGTAGAAGAAAAATACATTTAAATAATACAAAGACACTTGTCATACCTTGGTGGTATTATAAAGCTAAAAGTTTGTGTTAGAGAGATGCAATCCATGTAGCATACAACAGCTTCCACGCAGACACTGTCCTAGGTAAAACAAAAAGAGATGAATATCTTAACACATGGCCTGCTTGTGTTTCAACTTAAATATCCACATTTTAACTGGGATGGGATTGGGAACTACAGTATTAATGTGATCAATATAACCACTATTCAACCATATAAAGAAATCCCCTTTCTCATGAAAAAGGCTTGTTTGTTCCTATTAGGTCTCTTCAAACAGGACACACATTTATTTTTAAAGCTCTAAAAATCACAAATGTAAAAATTATATGTATTATGAATATACAGTATGTGTTTTATTCCATGACACCAAGTTACCTTTCAACAAGTTCTTTCACAATAACTTAAACTGAATGTTGCCTAATTGAAAAGAATCGAAATGAAACTACTCCGTGGAAGGTATTTTTATGCCTTCTCTTATCTGACTCCTTTCCCTTGATAAACATCTATCCTCACATTGTCCCTACAAGCAACAAAGTGCGAAATCTTTCACTTGTTCGAACAAGCAAAGTCTTTATCCTTTCAAGGAACTTAAAGTTGATATTTTATAGTCTATTCTTGATTAAATAATTAATGATAACAGATTATTTGAAATTTCTAGTACACCCCTGCATCTATCTCAAGATGAACTGATAGATAGAAGTTTCAGGTTGAGCGCAAAGGAATAGAACTTGCTCAGCCAGTCACAGTTTGTCTCTGGCATTTGTAGTCTGGAAAATGTCTGTCTATTCTGTTTGTCTGTCATTCTTTCTTTCTTGGAAAACAGTCTGCCCTCAGTAAATTCAGAGTACTTGCTGCTAAAGGCAGGCATATGCATTAGGCCAAAGAATAATATTGCCTCAGTTGATATTTTTGCTAAATAAAATTCTGTAAAATTCTGTGGTAATGGTAAATGGCCTGTATTTATATAGCGCTTTACTAATCACTAAGGACCCCAAAGCGCTTTACACATCCATTCACCCACACATTCACACACTGGTGATGGCAAGCTACGTTGTAGCCACAGCCACCCCGGGGCGCACTGACAGCTGCCGGACACTGGCGCCAGCGGGCCCTCTGACCACCACCAGTAGGCAACGGGTGAAGTGTCTTGCCCAAGGACACAACAACCGAGACTGTCCAAGCCGGGGCTCGAACCGGCAATCTTCCGATTACGAGGCGAACTCCCAACTCTTGAGCCACGATGTCTCATTTAGCTGTAGCCACTGTTTCAAAGAGGATGTTTATTTATTCAGAGTATGCGAAATATGTCCAAAACTATATGTTGTATATGTATAATATGTTGTGAAAAAATCACACACTCAAAGGATATATGCATATAATTATTCCTTCTTTTTTTTAGTAGGGAAACATGAGAAGTATAAATACATTGACGGGAAGCAAAGCAAAGTTTAAAAAGTTGAAAGCAACTGACCAAAGAAAGGAAAAAACATCTGAGGAGTACAAGCTCGTGTTACAGACAGATCCTGAAGCAGCAATTTACTAATCAACAAAAGGAAAAAAAACTCCTCTCTTCTTCACATTCATGATTAAGGATTAAGTCATGCTCTTGCACAACTGTAGACGTACTGTTGAATCACATTCTCTTTTACCTATTGTAGTGTTTCAGAAATTTTTAAATGAAAAGTAATTTGCCATATAAGTTGGTGCTCCTGAAAACGTAGGCTCCCCACTGTAAGTACTGCCTTTGCCTACTCAGTGTGGTGCAGTGTGACCCTGTTCATTGTGGGTGTTGCACTCTCAGTGTCACTCTGACTTGTGCTTGAAGGAGCAGAGCATCCTTTTGGAAGAGATTGTTAATTGAGGTGGAAAGATGCCTGAAGGAGGATTACATGTTCCATGTGTACGACGAAAAAGGTCCTTCAAATAGAAACATCACAGAGCTCAGTGAGCTCATTAATAGGTCCATTCATTTTAAATGCAGCCATACTTAACTGAGGAAGAGACACTTGTTAGCGTGAGTGTTTTTGGTGGGTAAGATATGTCAGTAAGGCATAAATAAGACAACGGAGAGAGGCTTTGTTAACATAGGAGGGGTGCACAAAATGCTTGAGTGCAACGTCAAAATCCTCAATCCTTTTTTTCTCAGGACATGTGTTGGCAGAATGGAGAGGGATGAGAAAGCACACGGTATGAATTCACAGTGCAGATGATAAAGTTGTGACCCACACACACACACACATCCAAGTCTGACAAGAAGCGACTTCTTCTGTCTTCATCAACTGCTTTGACAACAAAGAAGGAATTCTCTAAAAGGACTGCCGAAATACAACTTTGTTTAAATTTTCACCTCATCGTTGTCACTGATGAGGCCAATCACCGTGGTGTCATCTGCAAACTTAATGATGGTGTT